AAGAAGAAGTATGCGTAGTAAAATAAAAATTATAATTGTTTACATTTGAATCAGAGTTTTTGTGGTTGATTGTGATACAGGCAATTGATAAAGCGGTGTTGTAGCGACACCTTGAATCGCAATGTCGTTGAGCATTTTTGTAATYGCAATTTTCATAGAATCTTCGTAATAGCCACTTAGGCTAGTTAAAGTCCTTGTTGATGGAACTAAGAACATACACTTGGAATCCTTAAAGTTTTCCAATAACATGGGTGAATTCAGTATAGTTATATAATCATTTATGTATACTTTCCAATTATCGACCTGAAACCATTATTATTAGTTAAATGAAATGTGCATTTATACTTGAATGAAAAACGTTAATATAATAAATTATTGTATTATATTTACCACAGGCACAGCAATAACTGGATAGAGATGAGCTACGTTCGATATAATTTCAATGTTTTTATTCAAAAATATTTGGCATTCAGTTTGTCCCTGTAAAAATTAATATTAAGTTATTTTTAAAATTAATTTAATTTAAATTAATAAGAACATAGAATTTTTTTAATAAAAATTAAATTTTATACAAAATTTAGTATGCTCATGGATAAGTACAAAATTAAAAAAACAAATATTTTTGTTGCATATTATATAAGGTGCTGGCCTGATAGTTTTTGGAGCCTGATGTTGAATTTTGCAAGGTCCCATGGTCCATATCACTATATATATTAATTTATTAATTATTTATACAATTTTACTAAACTTTAAGGTATTGTTAGAAACTTAAATTTGTATGTATAAACTAATAAAATCTAATTTGCATTTGCAAAATGAATAAATACTTACTTTCGTAATTGGTATGATAATTTGGTACTATTTTTATTTTTATTGATAACAACCTATTTACTAACAAAACATGGCCGAAGTTTACGTACTATTGGGACAATATTATTATGTTTATTTAAAGATAAAGTAATATTTGTAATACATAATTTGTGGCCTATGGGACCTTGCACAAGTGCAGGACCTGGTGCAGTCGTACTGCTTGCCCCCTCCCTCTGGGGCCGACACTGATTCTATGGTATATTCCAATTTTTCCTAACATTTGCCTTAATTCCTTTGCTGCTAATGATTGTTGGTTGATAGAAATCCCGAACAAAATATTTAACAGTGCTTTATATTTTGTATGTTTACAGTGAGTACAGAAGTAAACTTGAAATAATATACTATAATATAAGAGTTTACTCAAAAGACACAAAACTATTTTTCTACAAAAAACATTTAATCTCCTTTAAAGTATTCTTCATTGGACTTAACACACTAGTCCAATCTTTTATTCCACTATTCTAGCAGTGACAGTACTTTATCATAGTTGTCTTGACTCATTAATCTTTTTAAAATGTTTCTATGCATTAAGAGGGAATAAAATAAATCATAAGGGGYTAGATTGGGTAAATAGGGTATGCAAGGCACTGTTTTCATACAATTTTTGATAAAAAATTAGCACACAGAGAGGGGTGTGGGGAWGGGGATGTTAATATATTATCTGCAGCCAACCTTTTTATCACTAAATATTCACTTAAAATTATCCAAACTGAACTCCAAGTCACTCTAGATCACTCTTTAACTTCTTAGATTGTCTTTCATATTATATCTTCCAAGACAATTTCACATATTTTTTAACATTTTATTAGTTTGAGATATTGAAGGGGACACCCAAAGCAAGATTGAACATCAATTGACACCCTCCCTCTTTTTTAAAATTGAAAAATCATAAAAGTTTTTCCCAGAACATCGTSCTTGTAGGTGATATATATTAATGTATATTATTTCTTTACAATATACTTGTTGGTATTGCAATATCTTGCCGATAAAATATAGTTAGCATACCTACATTGATTGATAAAGTTCCTTTGCACCTTAAAGGTACCTCYTTTCATAGCATAATATTATACCAAAAAAATCAACACTACAAAGACTCTGCACCTCACAACATCAGTTTGGTTTACTTTGGGTACACCCCTTGTACACTATATAGCTTATAATTAATAATTACTAGGGCTAGGATTTATATGCTATAAAATATGAGGAAATATGCAGTTATTTTATTAAAAATATGCTAAAATATACCAGATAAGTATTATTRAATAAACACATTTTCTATCAATTTTTTTTTCAAATTACTCTTAATAAATATCTTAAAATATGCCATGAAACATAATAAAATGAACACCTAATACAAAAACACTAAAAAAAATTCTACTATCAATAAACTTATCTGTTATCTCTAGATTTATTTAAGCTATTCAAATTAATTACATGAAACAATAACATGGTTTTTTAGATTTAAAAAGTAAACAATCTTCTGTTTGACATTAATAAATTCTTATAATTGCTAAAACTTAGCTCAACACCACGTAACTTTTGCATATTTAGATTTTGTTATATCTCTAGGAGTTATATTTGGGAAATCTTCATCTAGATTATTGCCATTTAAAATGTTACAGGTTAACCATAGATTTTATTCCATTGTTTTTC